TGATGCTATCCCAAAAGACAACTGTGGCACCTTGGATAGAGGGAGATTTTGAGCTTGTGAATAGGTCGCTAGTCCTTTCTCCAAAGATTCCATTGATTCCGTTCCTCCTATAGGGCAGGGATGTACAACAGGTAGAACAGAAGTTGATCACGGTCGATCGTGGACTGTTATTTGTCCATGGGCGAGGAAGGAGCATTTGGCCCCGCCTCTCCCTCTTTCATTTATCCACGCATGATTTCAAGAATGGTAGCCAGAGTTTCTGCTGGCGGGAGCTGCACCCCTAATCAAAGGTCAACAATTCAGACTTGGCTCCCTAAAAAAGCTCAACAACCTTGACCTGCATCCCCCCCCCCCCCAAATGGATAGATTACTCCCAGTTTTTTATTCTGTGAGTAGATCGTAGTTTCTTGGGAGTTGGACGTCCGTGCTATAGGGGAAGAGCCACAGCTCAGTGACAGAGCATCTGCTTTGCATGACGAAAGTCGCAGGTTCAGTCCCTGGTGTCTCCAGGTGGGGCTGGGATAGACTACTGCCTGAAACATTGGAGAGCTACTAACAGTCATTGTAGAAAATACTGAGTAAGATGGAACACAAGCAGCTTCCTACATTCCTGTGCATAGGCAATGTATTCTGCTAATTCGTCATACTCAATAAAAATCCATACAACTCAAAACTCATCCAGCCATCACTCTTTGGCTTTTTAATTAGGTATTTACCTTTGCCTCTACATGCACATTTTCTTGCAATTTACCAGCAGATTCGTATGGCTGTGGATGAAATCTCCCCTTTTTTTTTTAATGGGATGCATGGTATCCATATGGCCCAAAAGCTGTTAAATGTTTGAAAGATTATCCAGAGCAGCCATGCAGTTTAAGCTTTATGCTCACTCAAGTGTCATTATTTTTTTTCCAGGATTGTAAAATCAAGAAGTAATAAGTGGGGTAAGATTAAAATATGTTATTAAAATGGTCCCTTAATTAGTTACTTGGATATCTATTTTTGACCTTTGCATTTGAGCCAATAAACCATTTATAAAGATATTTTATTGTGAGAGTATATCATGGGAAATCAGTAGCTTTAAAAAGGTTGAACAAGCCCACTCTTCTTTTTTTGGAAATGCAAATGTACTGTAACTCTTAGCCAACTGGCTAAGTACCCATCTGCTGGGTAGATGATCACTCTGATTATGTGCAAAGACAGCAGTTCATGATGGCAAGGATCTCTTTTAATTTTAAAGGCTATGAATTCACTTCCTACTCTGTTTAGATTCAACACGAGCTAAAACAAGAGATAATCTGACACAGTGTTATGAGACCTAAGGTCTGGGGGACCAAATGTGTCCAGCCAGGCCAGGCCTCTTTATATGGCCCTTTGGAACATTCTCTCTCCCCCAGAACCATACCCCTCAACAGCCCTGCTTCACATTCTGAACCCTAACTTCTGGTTTGTCTGGATGGAGGATAGTCAAAGATGTGTGCAAGCATGTGTAGAATCTAGCCTACTGTACCAAAGTTAAATTTACATTAATTGCTCCACCCATGTTTTCCTCTGGCCCCATCCACCACCGGCACGTGGCCCTCAGAAGGCTAACCAGTGGTCCTCCAAATGTTGTGGACTCCAGTGGTCATCAGCCGCAGGCAACATGGCCAACAGTCAGTGATGATGGAAGCTATGGTCCCACAACCCCTGGAGGACACCACATTTTTGCCACTCCTGTCTTACAGCATGGAAGGTCAATGTTTTTGTCCCCATAAAAGGATGAAGTTGACAGACAGTGGTTTCTTAAGGCTACCTTCATGGCTGAGGTGATATTTGAAATACTTATCCACTAACAACCATTTGTCATTAAGGAAACAATTGACTGCTTGAGTTATTTTTGGCCCGAGTTAGGGGCCACGGTTTGACATAAGCACTGTTTTCTTTCCACCCCAAGCATGGGCTAAATCAATATGGCACATCACAGCACAGCATCTTTTAGTTAGATTTCAAATTATTATCCTTGTTCTTTTTTGCCACGAAGTTTTGTTTTTTAAAGAATCACTTAACAGGTTAGAGAGGCAGTGATGAGTAATGATTACAGCGTTGGACTAGGATGTGGGGAAGCAGCGTTTGAATCCCTACTCAGTCATGAAGCTTACTGAAGCTCAGCTTGAGTCAGATTCTTAGCTTAACCTACCACACAGGTTTGTTGTGATGATAGGGTGAGGTGTTGGGACCATGTACACTACCCTGAGCTCACTGGAGGAAAAGTGTTATATAATGTAAAAATTAAAGTAAGCAATGTGAACCCTGTCTGAGACCCTGGAGAGCCAAACAGTGGTGGTCCTATCCATTGAATCTCAATCCATTTACCTAAAAATATTATTCATAATTAAATGCTGAGTTCATACGGAGCAAAGATCAGAATCCTTCCAAGTTCTTGTCTTCTTCCAGAAAGCCCATCTTTTCGTTTTCTTATTTTTCCTCCAGTGGCCTTGCTTAATTATTCGTGTCTGAAATCAGAGGACATGTCCAATTTATATAAACTCTCTGTGAACAAAACTCCAATTTCTATGGAGCAGCACCTCTGTCGTTCTCCACTATCTTAGTTTCACATGAAAGTCTTTAGTTGCCTAAACCAGTACATCTCCACTTGTCTGATTAAATACCACTCCTATCAGAAATGAGACAATTGGATGTCACAGTTGATATCCAACTAGCTTTTAATGTCAAAGGGAAAAAATGAGGGCATTAACAGGATAAGCTGTGAGGACTGTTTCAGGCACGAGAAAGGGAGGCTCCTGCTTTTGAGAGACAATAGCATTCCATATTTCATTCAGTATGGGCATTCTAGTACCTTCTCAGAAATGGAAGTGGTTGAGTAGAACGATGTTCCTCAGTAATCTCTTAATCCTTGTGCAACTTTCCTACAGCAGTCCCTCCCCAGACTCCATTGGTTCTTTGTATCCTCTCCCCAAAGACTAAGAGTGGAATCTAACTATGATTATTCAAAAGTAAGCCCTGTTACATTTAATGGGCCTTACTCCCAGGAAAGTAGGGTTAGGATTGCAGCCTGCAATTTAGTAATTACAAAGTTGGGATTGTGTTGTAAAATAGTGCTTAACTATTAGTTGGACACAGTAGGGGAATGGTAGCAAAATTAAGTCCCATTTAACACAGCTAGTTCTAGCTTTAAAGGGGTCTCATGTCAAGGTGACTTCTGGTGGGGCCTCCCTTGTGTTGGTGGGCTCTCTTGATGGGTTTATCTGGTGGCAGGAGTGGTGGGTAGTCAAAGTGTGTTGTGGTGAGCAACAGATGGCCTCCACTGAAAAGATGTGAGAGCCACCACTTAATACCCTACAATGCTCCCGATACAGCATTCATCTAGGGCAGCGGTTCTCAACCTGTGGGTCACCAGATGTTGTTGGACTACAACTCCCATCACCCCTGAGCTCTGACCGTGCTAGCTAGGGATGATGGGAGTTGTAGTCCAACAACATCTGGGGACCCACAGGTTGAGAACTGCTGATCTAGGGCATCTAGCTCTGGAGGATGCTATTTTATTTTTTCAGAACTGATGATCTATTGTTGGAAATGGCAGCTCTCAAACCCAGCCACTTGGTGTTCATTGCTTAGTTTTTCTCTGGCCCACCCATGACTAGTACATCACATGCACACCCGTCAAAGGGAGTGCAGCATCCCAGCTACAAAAAAGGTTTCCCATCCCTGAACTTTCCAATCATCAAGAAATCCCAGCGATCTACACTGCCCAAAGCGTTGATTGTGGTGTGGTGAGTGCAACATGCTTTTAGATTCCGCCCCCCCCCCCCATCTTATGATTCAATCCCACAATGCCCTTGTGAACATTTCAGGTGATCACCTGAAGGTAGTGAATTTCCAGCTTCAGGGCAATAAAATAAAATAAACAACGTTACTAATCATGGAGAAATTCAATCAGCCCAAAGCTTCATAAAAAGAAATAATCAATAGCGGAGTCTCTCAAGGCCAATGATGCTGGTTGCTCTTTAAGCACCACCTAGCCTTGCAGCTTTGCATTCTTGAATCTTCCCGTAAACCAAACTCACAAAGCCTTTGTAACTTCTACACAGCTGCCAACAAATAGCTGGCCCAGGTATTTTAAATGGTGGATCCAATTAGAGAAGAAGCCGACCTCACCTTGATCCCCTGGGTATCATTAGCCGAGTTTTGATTTAATGGCATCAATAGCATTAATATCTCCTTTTCGTCTCCCTTCCAAAGCAGAGAAACATAAAAACATGTAGTCAGCAATTGCCTTGACCAAGCTTTTTGTTTAGACATAATATTTTATGTTATGTATGTGTGTGTGTGTTTTTTAAAAAACAACTTCCCTATTTAATGAAAGCTGCTAGCACAAGCAGATAAAGGGGGTGGTTCAAAAGATATATTGCTAATAACATATGATGACTTCAGATCTCTTTTTTTATATAAGTGCTTTACTTCTTGTTGAAACTCCAGTCTGCACACATCTCCATGCAAGGACGTGGTCCAAGATCTGCTGTGTGGATGGTGACATGTGCTTTACTTCTATGGAGGTCACTGCAATTTAATGTGTGGTATAAATGGCTTCTGTTATATAAGCGAGGGCCCGTAGCTCAGTATTAGAGTGCAGTACCTCCTAAGGATATACAAGATCCCATTCTTGGCATCTCTGTTTCAAAAAGTATCACACAGAATCATAGAGTTGGAAGGGACTACAGTGGTACCTCGGGTTAAGTACTTAATTCGTTCCGGAGGTCCGTACTTAACCTGAAACTGTTCTTAACCTGAAGCACCACTTTAGCTAATGGGGCCTCCTGCTGCTGCCGCATCGCTGGATCACAATTTCTGTTCTCATCCTGAAGCAAAGTTCTTAACCTGAAACACTATTTCTGGGTTAGCCGAGTCAGTAACCTGAAGCGTATGTAACCTGAAGCATATGTAACCCGAGGTACCATTGTATGAGGATCATCTAGTCCAACCCCCAGCAATGCAGGAATTTTTGGCCCAATGTGGGACGTGAACCCACAACCCTGAGATTAAGAGTCTCTTGCTCTACTGACTGAGCTATCCCATGTAGCGGGGCAGAGCTAAACCACAGCCTAAGACTTTTGGGAGCTGCTGCCAGTCAAAGCAGACAGGGTTTTTGTTAAGCAGACCAAAGTAAAAGGCAGCTCCCTGTTCTTGAACCAGAAACAATCCATTTTACTCCATTATTATTTAGGTATTTATTTATATATAGGCATTTATTCACCAACACAATACTATTCCCCTTCTGATTAGATCAATTTTGAATCTTGACCCATTGAAGTTAAATTCATCTCTTTAGTGGTTTCAATAACACAGTAGCTGGTGACAACTGGAAACTTGTGAATGTTGTTTCTCATGCAAGCTACTCTCTGATGTGGTTCCTCAATGGGTGGCATAGTTGAGTCTAAGTTAACCATGCCAACTGAGCACTCTGAAGCAAAGGGCATGGTCCTTTGCCATGTGGGTGCAGCAACCAAGCACAGCAAGATCTCAACAGGGCATAACAGACCCCCAAACTTGGCATATATGCATGGGTACTCCATGTATGAAATATATGGAAGTGATGTATGGAAGTGAGAGCTGGACCATAAAGAAGGCTGATCGCCGAAGAATTGATGCTTTTGAATTATGGCGCTGGAGGAGGCTCTTGAGAGTCCCATGGACTGCAAGAAGATCAATCCTATCCATTCTGAAGGAAATCAGCTCTGAATGCTCACTGGAAGGACAGATCGTAAAGCTGAGGCTCCAATACTTTGGCCACCTCATGAGAAGAGAAGACTCCTTGGAAAAGACCCTGATGTTGGGAAAGATGGAGGGCACAAGGAGAAGGGGAAGACAGAGGACGAGATGGTTGGACAGTGTTCTCGAAGCTACCAACACGAGTTTGACCAAACTGCAGGAGGCAGTGGAAGACAGGAGTGCCTGGCGTGCTCTGGTCCATGGGGTCACGAAGAGTCGGACATGACTAAATGACTAAACAACAAACAACAACAACTCCATGTACAGACCGTTAGAGGAAATGGCAGGTCTGTATACAAACCTCCCATATTTCCCTGTTTATTGTCCCTATTCCCCCTGCCTTTTCTGGCTCTCTATGAGTTGAAGAATGAAGTTCTGGGCTTCCTCTACTCATGAAGTACTGTATAATCAGGGTTCTACAGCATAATCAGGGTTTTAAATCATGTGGGTAGGAGTCCCGTTCATTCAGAACCACCTTCCAACTAATAGAGAGATGAAAAGAAAGGGGGAAGTGATGCACCAGAGGAGGCTTGACTCACACCCACTCTCATCACATAAGAAAACAGCCTGAAGACAACTTAGTAGTTAACTGGTCTTCTCCATTTGACACCCACCCTGTGATTCCCATATCTACTGAGCATGCATATTAGCTAGAAAATGTAAAAAAATTCAGCCAAGATCTGCACATTCCCCAAAGCTTGTTGAAAATTATACATAATGGACACAGAATGTACAAAGCTCAGTTGATATATGTACAGTGATAGCTCGGGTTACAGACGCTTCGGGTTACAGACTCCACTAATCCAGAAATAGTACCTTGGGTTAAGAACTTTGCTTCAGGATGAGAACAGGTCAAATAGCCTTGTGAGATAAATTTCTGTGCTCTACACAAATAGAAAATGCACGAACACCTTAATGTAGGAACAGCATATATATGTGTCTGCATATCATAGACATGCACACCCTCACTACAATGCTTTCATTTCCAGAAATATTTAGATCAGAAAAAAGCATAAATATTAATATTTTTTCTTTGAATTTGATTAATTTCTGGTTGCATTTTTAGGAGAGGGAAGCACAACATTTTACATAAAATGCAAATCACAATGACATGTCCTCACCCTTTCTGCTAGGTGATATTAGCAACATCAGAGAGAGAGAGAGAAATTGCAACACTGAATCCAATTTCTGCTTTATTTTATTGCAAATGTCTTTTCCTATGGTTCTCAGCAATATCCTGTCTTAGTCATGGCTATCACAGACTCCACAATACTGTTAAGTTATTAATGGATACTGCGACTTATGTTGCATTCATATTTGTAGCAGCTCAAGCATTTCACATGCATTCATGATTTAATTTTCTCTCAAATATCCCTTTAAGGTAATGAAGCCTCTCTTTCTGAACAAAGTGGAAAATGAAGGCATGAATGTTTCAGTGACTTCTCCTGTATCACTTACACTCTCATTGGCAGCAGAAGAAAAAGGACCCAGGACCTTGCTTTCTTCTTCTTGCTTCTTCCTCAATTAAAACACCAAAAACTTTTAGAAGTCTTCATTTTAATTGGATCAGTCATGGATTCCTAGCTCCCAGCACATGTATCTGTTACAAATGTCACAGTAATAATGCTGTTTCAAGAAGATCCTTCTCTCTTTATTAACATCAGATTTCAAATGAACATGATCAACATAGTCTATTGAATAGACTCTGTTCGATACCTAAGAGTAAGAAGCAAAGGCCCAACTCATACCGTAGTCTGCTGTGCTAACTGCTGAGCAACAATTTGCATCTGGATAACACCCTGATGCAGGCTCTAATCAGATGTTGGTTGGACAACAATTCCTATCATCCCTAGCCATTGATCATGCTGGCTATGACTGATAGGAGTTGGAGTCCAACGGGAAGGCCATCAGTTAAGTCACCCTGCTCAAATCTCATGTATTACCCATGTCCACTTGGTTACTTCTTATGCCAGTGCCAGGACTCTCATAGAGTCCTAAGAAAGGAATCAGTGAGCTAGATAACTAACAAGCTAGATAACTAAGTGAGCTAGATAACTAACTAGCTAGATAATAACAAATATGAAGATAACTTGAGCTGCTACAAATATGATTGATGCTTCCACATGTCACTAGTGCAGTGTGAAGCCCAGGCAAGGTGGGCCATTTTTATGGCAGTTCAGTTACATTAATAATGTATCAATTGGGCCCAGCAGCTAATTTACACCGTAACTGGGGACTCAGCTATGCTTGTCAATTATATTGTTATAACTGTGTTATAAACATGTGGCACCAGATGGCGCTGTAGAGCTGCAATCCATCGCCAATGGGATTTTCTATTAAGAGTTTTTATAACGTGTTTTTCTGTAACTTTTTTTATGTGTATAGATCCAGCTGGGCCACCCTATTCCTGCTTTCTCATGATTGGCTTCCACACCAAACTGAAAATCTTCTGCATCTTCTTGTGGACTCAGTTATTTCTTGTTGAACCACAATGTCCCACTGCCTTATTGCACCAACCAAGTGCAAACAGTTGTTGAATTACAACTCCCATCTTCCCAAGAGTATTGGCTGTGCTGGCTGGGGCTCATGGGAGCTGGTATCCAAAACTCTTAGAGGACACCAGATTGAAGAAGGTTGATCTTTTCATATTCTTTTCTCCATGTTCAGCCAAGATATTTCAACATTAGCATTCCTCTCACCATTTTCTTTTCATTTCCTGAGTTCACTTTCATGCGGGGTCTTTGCCAGTTCCTCTCTGCTCAAGAAGCATCCCTAAGAGTCTTGGTTCTTTTCATCTGGCTTCAGCAATGGAATCAGCCTGCTGTTTTGTCATGAGAAACAGGCTAAGGATGGGGCTGGACTAAGTTTGGGAATCCACTTCCACCTAGAAAAATCAATATTTTTATTTCTCCTCCTCCTCCTCGCTGAATTCCTAAAATCAAAGGTGTCAAACAAATTAAATAAACACAAAAGCTTTCTCTCAGATACTTGCATCAGCTTCCAAAATAAAGTAGATAAAGGAATCTCTAATGATAACACTTGCCAGCACCTTAGAATTTTATACTGTTTGTCAAAGGACTAAATAAACATGTTCACTGCGCATTATTTTGAGGCATAAAAGCAAAACTCATTTTCTAGGAAGGAAACAGGTAAAAAATAATTGGGCACCACCTGGAAAATGACTATGATTTAGATCAGGATATGGTATACAATAGGTGCCATAAAAATAAAAGATAATGATAGGGGCAGGATTCAAGAACTGTCAGCGTTGTCTTTTCTGCTACCAAATCACAGTCGTGCTAGTGCTGTACCAAAAACTTCTCCCCAATTTCTTTTAAGTTTTTCTTCCTTTGCAAAGTAGGCTTCTGTTTATTGCCTCATTTGCAGAATGCTTAAGAATTTCTTTAGAATCCAGTGGATGCAGGGAGAAGCTTACCTTTTCATTGTGAGGTTACTTTGGGTTGTATACATGCTTCTGTGAAGCATTTCTCCAATGCTCTGCCGGTTCTCTGGCATATAAACCTGACTTCTAAGCACTACTAATTCTCTCTAGTGATTGGGGTAGATCTGTGATATAGATGATAGATAGATGATAAATAGATGATTGATAGATGATAGATATAGATAGATAGATAGATAGATAGATAGATAGATAGATAGATAGATGATAGATTAGATGATAGATAGATGATAGATAGATAGATAGATGATAGATGATAGATAGATAGATAGATAGATAGATAGATAGATAGATAGATGATAGATGATAGATAGACAGATAGATAGATAGATGATAGATGATAGATGATAGATGATTGTAATGTAAGCATCAAACAGCACATCCAACAAGTTTTCTGGTAGGATGCAGTTAATCACTAAAACCATATATTTATTACAGTGATCAACAAAGCAGGAATCACTTCGTTGTCTTCTTCTTCTTCTTTTTCTTTTTCTTCGCAAAAGAATTGGAGCAACCTGATGCTATGCACTTTAATTCTGAGAGTCACAGTCTGTCGCACTTATCAATAATTGCTACTGAAATGCCAGCAGGTCCAACAATGCCAGCAAAAAGGGAAAACATCTGGATGTACATGTTGGACACATTACCATTGCATGGCCTCAACCTAGAGGATGCTACCAGTATTGTTTAGCTTCAGTGAATGAAATCTTGTGAGCATTCCATCCACATAGCTCTACAACTGCCCCCTGGGGAACATCATCACGTCCTTTTAAGGTGTGGGGGCAAAGAGACAGAAGCTAGGAGCTGGGTTTTGTGTATTAGAGGGATGGGTTTAAAAAGTACCAGAAGCATTATGTAAAATTACAGACAACAACAACAACAAGTTCAGCCCCTGCACTGTTCAGAATGTCATATCTCAGTCTTAAATTTGTATAGCTTTCTCCACCATTTACAGAAACTGTATGCCAGTGGCGGCAAACTTGTTTTTTTACCCTGAGGCCCATGTTCCTCCTTAGACAACTATCTGGGACCACATGCCAGTGGTGGGTGTGGCCACCCCACTGTCTCATACACACTCCTGCATGTGTGTGTGTGTGTGTGTGTGTGTGCGCACACACACACACACACACACACACATACACACAACATGCACAGGCAGACAGACAAACAAACAAACAGATGGCTTCCCTTCCTCAGCTGAGCCGTGTAGCTTATTGTACCCTTTCCATTTGTAAGATGATTGATCAAATGTCTGGAGGGGGGACGATTCGCATCCCTCTCAGTGCTGTGCTCCCTCCACCCAGGCACGATGTCTACGTTATATTTTATTTCCATTTTGACACTGCTGCCAAAATGGGCATGCCAGAAGAATTTGCTTGGGGCATGGGGTGGACCTGCCACGGAGTTGAAGTCAGGCACGCCTGCTCTATGCAAAACATGCAGCTCTAGAAATGCAGAGCTGGCCAGATACTGTCCTGACTTCCATCTCTTCCCCTGGCTGCTATACAACTATTGGTACACCTGACCTGAACATTCTTCCTGCTTCCTCTAAAGTGTGAGCGCCTATGAGCAAAATGAACACAAACACTGAAAATATCATATTTATGCAAAATGCCCTTGGTTTTCCCCTTTAATTTTCCTTCCTGTGATTGCCTCTGCCTCACCTGAAAGGTACTGAGGTGCTTGGAAAGCCCATCTCTCTATCGATCTTCTTGTCAAACAGAGCTTTAGTTGCTTCACTGCATTTCATGACTGTGTTTTAGAACAAGGTTTTAAATTGCAGCACTTTTCTGTTTTGTTTTGCTTTCTTTTCTTTTTCTTTTTTTAAAAAAATGCTATATGAAATCCAAAAAGTGGAAAAACCAGTTATTCATTAGCCTCATCTCCACTGAAAGGAAAATAAACAAGAATTCGCTTCAGTATACCGATAAACCTAAGAAATGCATAAGCTGCTTTACATAACATCTCTCATAATGCTGTTGCTCAGGTTGTAGGTAAATGCTGCTTCATTCTTTTTCCTCTTTTTAAAACGTGGATTACTTTGGTCTGTCTGGTAATCTGCCAGATTAGAGGGGAATCCCACTGCTGTGAAGAAAGGATACTACAGCAATCCAGCAGTTTCAATTTCCAACACAGATATTGTAGTTTCTTATGTAAAAAATAATAATAATCCGGAACCAACTACCAGTCCAATTCTACCTGATCTACTGTATTCTGGACTCTGGAGGGAGATTGGCATCAGATCAAAGTGTGGACACTAAGTGGAGAAATGTACATTCCTGTTATCATCCAACTGAAGGCAAAGGGCAGTGTCCACATTTGCACACACATCCCAAATCACATCCTATTTATACTGACAGTTTCTAAAAGCAAGGACATCTGAAACACTTAGGGATATCTGAGCCTGGGAGAGGGGCAGCCATTCCATCGGGCTGCAGCAACCCAGCTAAGATCACAATCCTTAGATGTACATTTGCTATATCTGACACCTGCCAGGAGTCATCCTGGCCCTTGCTAACCCCTCTTTGATCACCACCTCAACTGACACTACTTATCTATAGTGGAGCCCACATTTTATTTTATTTTTGCAGTTTCTAAGCTCTTTCTGCCATGTTTGGATGTAGCAGCCATTATGTATGCCAGAGATGAGGAAACTGGCCATCCAAATATTCTTGGACTGCAGCTCTGATCAACCTCAGCCAGCATGGCCAGGAGTCATGGCCAGGGGTCATGGATGATGTGAATTAGAGTTCAACATCCCATGGAGGGCCACAAATTGCCCCATCCTTGAGCTATGCCTTTATATGCTTCTCATTTTGGGGGTTGGGTTAAGGAAAAGTATAATTGGAAAGTTGCATGTGCAAATAATATGTGAAATGTTTGCACATGCATAAAACCCATAAGCAGCATTATGAATACTTTGCTTACAATCTAGATAGTGACTCTGTCATTTGGACATAGATACTTGGAATTTTGGTGGGACACAGGTGGCGCTGTGGGTTAAACCACAGAGCCTAGGGCTTGCCAATCAGAAGGTTGGCGGTTCGAATCCCTGTGACGGGGTGAGCTCCCGTCGCTCGGTCCCAGCTCCTGCCAACCTAGCAGTTCGAAAGCATGTCAAAGTGCAAGTAAATAAATAGGTACCACTCCGGTGGGAAGGTAAACAGCGTTTCTTTGTGCTGCTCTGGTTTGCCAGGAAGCGGCTTAGCCATGCTGGCCACATGACCTAGTAAAGCGAGATGAGCGCCACACCCCAGAGTCGTCCACGACTGGACCTAATGGTCAGGGGTCCCTTTACCTTTACCTTGGAATTTTATAGGCATACATCCTGTTCAGCTATAGTGTCCCAGGATCACTCAGTGGCTCACTCAGCCAACCTTGCCCATGGACCTCAGCTAACACTAACAGAACACATCCCAAAATCACCTCCAGGCTGTGAATTGGCATCTTTAGAAAGAGTACAATCTCACCCATTGTAGGCAAACTCTTCTCCACTAGTTCATGTGGATTTTTCGTGACTTTTAACTGCATTTGTTTTATTTAATCTACTTCAGTGCTGTTTGGGGGCAGAATTTTTGGGTAGAGATTCTGATAATAGTCTTGAGTTCACTGACACTTTAGCTCTATAATCTGAGAAAAGAAAAGAAAACATTTTCCATTACTTTCCTAACAAATCCTGAAAGAATTGCTCTCCATGCTTCTGCCAAACTTTGTTGCTGCTTTCATTATACTCAGTTAAAAATGCTCCTCACTGAACAGTTACCAAGACAGTTTTCTCTTTCTTACTCTGCAAAAACTCAGCTCTGTGCTAATCTAGATGACATTTGAGAATCTCCCCTAAAACCACCTTTGGGCATACTAACCCATATACCTTCTCTATAACTGTTAACTAGTATTCCAGGCTTCTGCCTCAAGGGGAGTGGGGAGAAAGGTGCTCTATTTCCTCCTACAAAATATATTAGAACAAGACATGCCAAACGTTTCTAGGTGAATATATACAAAACCTCACAAGAATGAAATTCTACCTTGTATGAAACTTTGCAAATCCAAGAGGGAAATAAGACAAAACAAAGCTGGAAAGGGACGAAACCATAAAACTAAAAAGCCAGCCCCCACCCCTCTGTGTGTGTGCCTTGAAAAACGAAGAAATGGGTAGGATAGTAAATTATCAAATAGATTTAAAAAAAAATACCCGGCATATTAAGATTAAGATGAAATTACAACATGGGACAGCCATTTGTAGAGGGAAGAGGCGAGGAGAAGAACATCTGAATCAGGCCAGTGGACCATCTAGTCCACCATTCTGTTCTCACAGTGGCCAACCAGATGCCTATGGGAAGCAGGAACTTGGTGCAATAGCTCTCCTCTCCTGCAGTTTCCAGGAGCTGGTATTTGGAAACATATTGGAAGTATATCATAGCCATCAGAGTTAGCAGACATAATCTGCTATTATTTCCCACCACAACCTCTTCTAAACCTTCTAAACCTCTTCTAAAGCCATCACTGTTGATGGCTATCACTGCTTCGTGTGGGAGCGAATTCCATTATTCCTGTGCCAAGTGAAAAAGTAATTTCTTTTGTCCGACCTGAATCTTTCACTATTCATCTTCAATGGATGTCTGAAAGTGCTAGTGTTAAGAGAAAGGAAGAAAAACCTTACTCTATCCACTTTTACACACATAAACACAGCTCTGTGACATAGGAGCCAACTCTTAGGGGCCGTGGGGTTTTTGGCACCCACAATAAAATATTTGAGGGGGCTGGGCCCCCACAAAGTTGGTGGGCATTCCCATTCAAATGGTGTGTGTGCACTGTGACATGTGATCTGTTATGTAGGGCAGGGCTTCCCTGGGGCCCCACACTATTTTATTCAAGTTGGAACCCCTGTTCTGTGATAATCACACATATGTGATTTGGGAAAATTGATGGTGTCCTTTATGGGTTACCTATACAGTGGTACCTTGGTTTAAGAACAGCTTAGTTTATGAACAACTTGGATTAAGAATGCTGCAAGTCCGGAAGCAGGTGTTTTGGTTTGTGAACTTTGCCTTGGAATAAGAACGTGTTTTGCTTCCTGTTGACTGTGGTCCATTTGTAAATCAAGTCCCCCGCTGCTATGGGAAAGCATGCCTTGGTTTAAGAACACTTTGGTTTAAGAACGGACTTCCGGAATGGATTAAGTTCGTAAACCAAGGTAGCTCTGTAGAATGTCATTGTCAGGGAACTGCCATCAGTGCAGGAGGGAGAGAGCAAAAGCCAGATGGATTATAGAGAGCCTCCAGGGATCGTGGGAAGTAGTTCCTCTTCAACAGAAGAGAATAAACGTGGCTCCAGTGGAGAGGAGGTGCAGGAGTCGGAAGTGGCGAGGCGAGGCGGTCCCAGGACTCCTTGCCTGAGAGAAGCAGGGAGGGAAGGGGTCGTCCGCTGCCCACGCCCTCTTTGCGCAGAAAGCATTCACGCAGAGAGGGGAGGTGCAGACTGGGCGTCAAGGAGCTGCTTTGATGGAGAAAGTTTAAGAACCGCCCACTCATGGATTCTGCCAGCGATTGAGTCAGCCACGGGAGAGTGGCGCTCCGGACTGATAAAGTTTATTTTGGCAGCCAAGCCATGTCTTCACAGCCAAGTAGGGAGATATTTGCCTGCTTGCTCTCGAGCAACCCCTTGGAAACATAACAGTCATGGAACAATTAGCGTTTACACATATATACTATGACTAATGAAATTACTTTGGCTGTCTGTAGCCTATTTCTTATCTATATATATTTGTGTGTGTATCTTTGAGAAGGTTTTAAATTATTATTTTTCACTGCTTAAAGTTGATGTTCCTGCAATTTTGTTAGAAAAACTGTAAAATTCAAGTTACAGTTCTTCATAACCTAATATCAAGATAAAAGAACGCCTTTTCATCCGCTCTCTCAGCAGCGCAAAGGAAAGCCAACATAGTGGCTGTTTTTAGCTTTGCCAAGAAAAACACTTGGGATAAATATAGCAGGGCTTCTTTATTTTTATTTTTGCAAATTACATAAACTATACTTTTTTGTGGCATCTGGCAGAGTAATCCTTAATTTGCTCGGGGCTTGAGTTAATCTTTGAAGGTTTCTAGGCATAGGGTACCTTTTCCCAACTTGGAGTACAAATTCCATCAAGGCTGG